AAACAATAAAAGAATACCATTTATTTAAATATTTTTGGATGTTTTCTACATTTTCAAATATATTTATTTCAATTACAACATAGAATACAAAGTGTACAGTGCTCACTTTATATGTATTTTTATTACAAATATTTGCACTGTAAAAAACAAAAGAAATAGTATATTTCAATTCACCTCCTACACATACTGTGGTGCAATCTCTTTATCATGAAAGTTGAACTTACAAATGTAGAATTATGTACAAAAAATAACCGAATTCAAAAATAAAACAATGTAAAACTTTAGAGCCTACAAATCCACTCAGTCCTATTTCTTGTTCAGCCAATCACTCAGACAAACAAGTTTGTTTACATTTGCAGGAGATAATGTTGCCCGTTTCTTGTTCACAATGTCACCTGAAAGTGAGAGCAGGCATTCGCATGGCACTGTTGTAGCTGGTGTTGCAAGATATTTACGTGTCAGATGCATTAAAGATTCATATATCCCTTCATGCTTCAACCACCATTCCAGAAGACATGCATCCATCCTGATGATAGCTTCTGCTCGATAACGATCCAAAGCAGTGTGGACCAATGCAAGGACAAGTCAGAGTCCTGGAAGAATTCCATTCACTGTTACAGACTAGGGACCGAATTGCTAGGAAGCAGTTCTGCAGAAAAGGATCTAGGGGTTACAGTGGACGAGAAGCTGGATATGAGTCAACAGTGTGCCCTTGTTGCCAAGAAGGCTAACGGCATTTTGGCCTGTATAAGTAGGGGCATTGCCAGCAGATCGAGGGACGTGATCATTCCCCTCTATTCGACATTGGTGAGGCCTCATTTGGAGTACTGTGTCCAGTTTTGGGCCCCACACTACAAGAAGGATGTGGAAAAATTGGAAAGAGTCCAGCGGAGGGCAACAAAAATGATTAGGAGGCTGGAGCACATGACTTATGAGGAGAGGCTGAGGGAAATGGGATTGTTTAGTCTGCAGAAGAGAAGAATGAGGGGGGATTTGATAGCTGCTTTCAACTACCTGAAAGGGGTTCCAAAGAGGATGTATATAGACTGTTCTCAGTGGTACCAGATGACAGAACCAGGAGTAATGGTCTCAAGTTGCAGTGGGGGAGGTTTAGGTTGGATATTAGGAAAAACTAGGAGGGTGGTAAAGCACTGGAATGGGTTACCTAGGGAGGTGGTGGAATCTCCTTCCTTAGAGGTTTATAAGGTCAGGCTTGACAAAGCCCTGGCTGGGATGATTTAGTTGGGGATTGGTCCTGCTTTGAGCAGGGGGTTGGACTAAATGACCTCCTGAGGTCCCTTCCAACTCTGATATTCTATGATTCTATGATTCTATGTTCATTTTCATCATCTGAGTCAGATTCCACCAGCAGAAGGTTGATTTTCTTCTTTGGTGGTTCGGGTTCTGTAGTTTCCGGATCGGAGTGTTGCTCTTATAAGACATCTGAAAGCATGCTCCACACCCCGTCCCGATCAGATTTTGGAAGGCACTTCAGATTCTTAAACCTTGGGTCGAGTGCTGTAGCTATCCTTAGAAATTTCACATTGGTACCTTCTTTGCGTTTTGCCAAATCTGCTGTGAAAGTGTTCTTAAAATGAACATGTGCTGGGTCATCATCCGAGACTGCTATAACATGAAATATATGGCAGAATGTGAGTAAAACAGAACAGGAGACATACAATTCTCCCCCAAGGAATTGTCACAAATTTAATTAACGCATTATTTTTTTAATGAGTGTCATCAGCATGGAAGCATGTTCTCTGGAATGGTGGCTGAAGCATGAAGGGGCATATGACTGTTTAGCATATCTGGCATGTAAATACCTTGCAACGCTGGCTACAAAAGTGCCATGTGAATGCCTGCTCTCTCTTTCAGGTGACATTGTAAATAAGCGGTCAGCAATATCTCCAGTAAATGTAAACAAGCTTGTTTGTCTTAGCAATTGGCTGAACAAGAAGTAGGACTGAGTGGACTTGTAGGCTCTAAAGATTTACATTGTTTTGTTTTTGAGTGCAGTTATGCAACAACAAAAAATCTACATTTGTAAGTTACACTTTCACAATTAAGAGATTGCACTACAGTACTTGTATGAAGTGAACTGAAAAATACTAGTTCTTTTATCATTTTTACAGTGCAAATATTTGTAATAAAAATAATATAAAGTGAGCACTGTACACTTTGTATTCTGTGTTGTAATAGAAATCAATATATTTGAAAATGTAGAAAAACATCCACAAATATTTAATAAATTTCAATTGGTATTTTATTGTTTAACGGTGTGATTAATCACAATTAATTTTTTTGAGTTAATCGCATGAGTTAACTGTGATTAATCGACAGCCCTAATTTTTACCCTCCCAACAGATAAATCGACAAAATGTGTACTTATTAATTTCTATCATTAGTCTCTCTACACAAACTTTTTTCCAACTGTACCTTCTCTCTTCTTCACCGTCACAAAATAACATTAAAAAATTAAGCAAAAAAGCAGTATAACAGCAGCATATAAAAATCAATTGAAATGATTGAAATTTTCATTAATTTGATAAACAAGTGACTAACCAACCACATGTCAGGTTACTTTAGCATCTTAACTATTCTGTATTAAAACTGCAAAAACCAAGATGTATTCTTGCAAGCATTCTTCATGCACACACTAACTCACCTCCCATTTCCTTTAGCAGAGCCATCCTGTCCATTAATCTGCAAAGTTCATCTTAATTAGAGAAATTTAAAAGGAGTAGACCAAGTTTTGCAATATTGATTTTTTTTTTAATAAAAGTGTTCACCAACATTTGTAAAATTTCCAATAGCCCTACAGCTGGTCCAAAAACGGGGGGAAAATATTCAATAAAAATTCATCAAAAGCCCAAAACACAATTTTTAAGGGGTCGGGGGAGGGTTCAAAATGTCAGTCAAACTGGAACTGAGGAGGGAATCATAGGATGGTGGAGAGGGTGTTGTCAAACCAGCTGATTCATCCCACCATTATTGAGGATGCCAACCTATCAAAGCATCCACACAGCAGCAGCCTTATTTTCAATCCCCCAGAAAAAAAAAAAAAAGAGAGAGAGAAATAACGGGGGAGGGATTGTAAAATCATCATACTAGAGCAAAACCCCTCACTAACTAACTAAATTAACTTTTTATTTGAATTTGCAAAAATGACAAAGTTGCTGATTATTTATTTTTAACATGAGGCTTTTCATAGCAAACAAACCAGAGTCCCTCCTCTCCAATTAGGGCCCAATCTTGCAACTGCTGTACATATGAAATTGCCAGTGAACTCAGTGGGAGCTGTGGATACAGTATGGACTAGCTCTTCTCTTTGAGAATCTAAACCCTTCTGATCCTTTTCCTAAATGTGGCAGAAAGAAATATGCTGCAGCAAACAGAACATATCCTTTGCCCTTCAGCTATCACAGTTGTAGCGCACAGGTTTAGTTCTCTCTTACTGTAAGAGACACAATCACTTGATTCCCTCTCCTTGCCATGCCCCACTAGATCTCAGCAGTCATGTCTGAGCCACCTCTATCAGCTCACAGTGCTATGGGAAATAAAGGTTTCACACAAAAAGAGTTGTTCTCAGCCCTGACAATTAATTTCAAGATAAGGAGACAGGCGTTTTTTTATGTGAATTGATACCAACTATCTAGATTCAGAAACAGATATAGCCTTCTAGTGATATTGGTAGAAATATCAATGTGTAAAAATACACTTAATTTGTCTTCATTATTAAACAATTTTTTTTCCCCTCTTTCTCTCCTGGAAATGTTAAAGCCCACTAAAAACACAGTGATGTCGGGAGCCACTTGGCACTCTCATTGGTAGTCTTAGCAAGGAATTAATAGGCATGAAAAATGAACTACACTCAGATCAGGGAAGATGCAATTTGGCAGAGCAGCATGAGAAAATTTGTACTTGTTCCGTGGCTAAATGGAAGACCTCAATCTGTAGTGCTGTTCTTTTAATTTTTCAAGAGTATGAAATTCTTACACTTACACACACACTCACACACGACACTGTTTATTCTGCACACATACACACGAACACACAGACACTGCATTGTTTATTCTACTGAGTAAGATTTTTAAGTCCAGTCAATGGCAGGTAACAGATCCCTTCAAAGTAGGATCTCAGGTCTTAGAAGCTATTTCTAGGTAACTTCCTTTCAAATCAGTAACGAACAGGCCTTGCTAATTACCATATTGTTCAATTCCCTGCAATTTATGGCTCACTAATACGAAGAGACTTGTACTGTCATAACTACTTTGTATTTTGATACTGCTCTACCAAGACCGTCCGACCCCGTATAATAACAATTGTGCTACCCCAACCCTATCAATCACACCCTATAGGGTTGGTTCCCAGAGAAGGGGGTATGAAAAAGGATGGAATGAGCTTGGTGCAGCCACCAATATACTGTAAAATAGTTAACAATTCTCCACTGGGAAAGTCTAATGGAAGCCCAAGCTAGAAAATTTTATCTCTATTTGGAGAAATTGGAAATGTATATGACTCATCTTCAGTATGTCAATGCTATTGCCTCAGCAGTCTCCCAAAGATCAAGGCGAATGGAAATCAATGCTGCTGCCTTATTAGGAAACACAAATCAAAGACTTGGTGACTTTGTAAAAACCCCTCTGTCACTTTGATCTTTTGGTGCCAAGCATTTCCACAGATTGATTACTGCGCATTGTTATGTTTTAGAAAGAAATTTCCAATACAATTGTATTTTTTAAAAGTAACAAACTGGCAGCCAACACCTTTACCTGCACTGTCTGGGAAGCTGAGCTGGGCAAATGGAAGAGGGGAAACTCTCATGTATTGACAGTTGTTTTGCCTTTAAAATGATGTCCTCTGCTCTGACAATGTGGTACAGATTTCAATTAAGTTCAATCAAGATTTGAGGTGATGGCACTGCCTTGTCACTCTGGAAGCAGGTACACTCCAGAACATCCTAAAAGTTAAACAAATAGAGGGGGGAAAACAGTACTAACCTGGGTCTCCAAGCCGGTGTAGGGACGGGGTGGCTGGTCCTGTAAAAAGAAAGCAGAAGGAAATTGTGACAGTCTATACCATTATGTTCACCACTTTTACAAGACTATAATAAATTTTGTACAGAGTATGCCTTGTGAGGTATCACTTAAAAACTCATAATCTGCTGAACATTATTGTCCTGGTAAATTGTATATACATATACAAAATCTCATGTATAAAATATTCTACTGTATAACATTGTTATAACATGTTCAAAGTTTAGAAAAGCAGGCACAAACCAATCTTTTAGAGACAAAAGAAACACTGGCACCCAGCCAGATATCGGCATAATCAAATGGATTATGATGGGTTATCACCACGTTTATCCACCATTCTTTGGCAAGAAGAAGGGTGCAAGCAAGAACTTTACATATTAGCAATGAAAACAGCTGCAGGTCCAGTGTAAACAGACTGGCTGTCACCTGAACCCCAGCTGGAGATAATCCTCAAGAAGTGGAGAATGGTATAAGAATAGAGGACACACACACCGCCTCACCTCTGTCCCCCCATCTCCACTCATGGCAGCTACAAAACTCTTGAAAGACAAAGGAAGCATCATTGAACTGGGGAAGAGGTGCTGGCTGGAAGGCTTTTCGGCCAGTACAGATTGCTGTAAGCATATAATGAGATAAAACCTTTGCTTTGAATCCATTTAGCTTGCTAAATTATGTATTAGTTTGCGATTTATTTTTTTATTTTCTTTGTAACCAATTCTGACTTTTCTGACTCATTACTTGTAGTCACTTAAAATCTATCTTTCTGTAGTTAATAAATTTGTTTTATTCCTTTATCTAAACCAGTGTGTGTTTGGATTGAAGTGTTTGAAAACCACCACCTGAGATAACAGAGTCTGTGCATATCATTTTCCTTTGATGAAAGGATGGACTTTCTATGAGTTTGCATTGTCCAGTAGAATGCTGGGCAGTACAAGATGCACATTTCTGGGGGGACAAGGCTGGGACTGGGAATTTCTTGGTGTCACTCTGCAATACAATTCATGAGTGGCTAGCAGAGCATTCATGTAACATAGCTGCGAGTGATTTTGCACGCTGGAGGCTGTGTGTGAGCAGCATCAGAAGTGGTGGCTCTTATAGCAAAGCAATGTAAAAGGCATCCCAAGCTGGACAGCAAAAGGGACACAGCTGTTCAGTAGCATCCCTGGGGAATGTCACAGAAATAGACAGTCTTCAGAATACCGAGAAGATGGGACTTTTTTGACCTGTTATTGACTAGGCAAGATGACACCAAAGAAACAAGTGTTTACTCTAGCACAGACTTCTCAAATGTTATCGTCTTAAGATAGCGTACCTTTCATATACACCTCTCTTCCACTCCCACACAAAGCCAGCTATAATATTTGGTTGCGTGGGATAAAAGTAATATTAGAAGAGTATTAGGGAGACCACAGAGGTTTCAGAATAGACTCAAGGTCATATGAGGCACTCATATCATTGATCTCCTATTTTGGTTTTCATATTTTTCCTGCTCTGTTCTATTTTTACATTGCAATACAATTGATCTGTGTGTCTTTAAAGTTTTTGAGCTCTTTCAGAAAGTTAACTGGAGACTTTGGCAATGTGTAGAGCTGGTTGGAGAACTGAAAACCTTTCACACAAAATATTTGTGATTATGCCCATTTTTTCATCAAAATTTCATTCTGATGATCCAAGTAGCTTTAATAATGTGTCATTATATTTAAGTGAACAGTTCTAGCTTTGTAGTGTATATCTTCTTTTGTGTACAAAGTAAGAACTCTTATCTCAACTTGGCTAGGGGTCCAAAGCTTATTAAAGAACTCCTGAATACTAAAGCACAAAAACTGTCCGTATGGCCAGTTAATTAACAGGTCCTAAGAAAAAGATAATATCCTTGCAAAAAGCTACATCAGGAGTAGGCTTTGCAGAATTAGATGTGGGGTTTTTATATAATTTGGAAAGATAGTATTGATGTCGATTTTTAAGCATTTGCTTTGATTTTTATCAATTTAAATGTTCACAGTTGAGCAAAATTATGTGGTGAGCATTTTATTCCACTTATTTTGAAGCATTTTCTCCAAAATTTTAAATTTTCATAGTTGTGAAAAATTATGGGGAGATCATGAAATAACAATTAATTAGAGTAGGTTTTGAGATTCAAAAATTTAAAACTTTATAGCTGTTAAAACACAAATGGTGAACATCACATGTCAAAGTATACAAAGTAAATATCTCTAAATCAAACTAATAAGTTCTCTTCTTACTTTGCCTATTTGTAAATTTCAGTTATCATCACTGGAAATATTTTTTCCTTGGTTTCAAACCTAATCATTAGTGTTTTGGGACTAGCTCTCAAACCAAATATTTAAAGAAACGTCTTTTAAAGTACAAAGGTACATTTTAAAAGCTTCAGTCCTGCTGGCCCAAGGTATTACTGCAGGGTCTCACTTTCTATAGCATCCTGTTTAATTGGAAAAGCTAACGAAGTGGAACCAGGTCAATGGTGCTTTCTCTTTAATCCATTACGTCTGTCAAAATTAGAAGACTTCGGTTGAGAGTAGGGTAAATTCTGGCCTGTCAGATTATAAAGCCCCTGGGAATAAGAGTTTTAATAACCCAGGATACTTCAGCTAAATGTGATTCTTTTTTCCCCCCGCAGAACCACAGTGTGTAACAAGTAGCTAGCTTCCTTCCTTTCCCCTTAAAGACTACACAAAATGCAGTTAACATTTGCATGTGACCATAGCCAGTTTTTGGTTTAATACACTTTTTATTACTGTACTAATGAAGGGGCCTTTTAATCAGCCCAGAATGAAGATTACCAGTCGAGTACAGAGATGCCTTGTAGCCAACTGCCTCTCTTTTTCCCCAAGCAATAAATAAGTTATGTGATATCTGCCAGCAGTTTATGCACAGCTGAGAAGTATCAAAGTCTTACCTCTAACCCAACATCTAGTGAACTTATCAACATATTCAAACACTGAATACAGCTACTGCTTACACATGGATGTTATCTGACCAGACCAAATGATACTAAGAGTTATAGGATGTGCAGAAACATGGATGGTATCCATTAATGATTTCACTCAGCTAAATTAGAAAGGGATCTTATTTAGTGAAAAAAGCTCTTGTGAAGATTGGCCCACTATTTTCTCAAAAGGAAATGATCCAGGTACACTAGACACTGAATACATGCATTTATCGTGCTCATCTGTTACAGACTCAGGAGATTAAATTAATTCCTTGTGTGCCTGGATTCTAAGGAAGTGATGCCAGCAATGAAATCAAGCCCAGAGACTCTCATCTCTTAAGTGAAGGGATCAATTGTTAATTTGGTCAGAATGTGTCTCGATTGTTCTGATTTTTTTTCCTCTGTGAGATCTACACCAAATCAGAGATACCAACACTATTGAATAGTGTGTATGTGTGTGTGTGAGAGAGAATCCAAAAATAACCTTCTAAAGGTAGTAACAGCAAATTATTACTTTTCCAATACAATGGCTCAGCTGCACAGATTTCCCTTTGGGATATCATCTGGATTTTCTTATTCACTGCCAGCTACATTGCAGACGATAGCTTTTTCAAAATGTGTTGTTGGTTCTTCAGTTAGAACCACAGCATCCTGAAAGGGTCCAGGGGATTCCTGTAATAGATAAAAAGCGACAAAGAGTCCTGTGGCAGCTTATAGACTAACAGACGTATTGTATTGGAGCATAAGATTTCATGGGTGAATACCCACTTCGTCAGATGCATGTAGTGGAAATTTCCAGAGGCAGGTATAAATATGTAGGAGATAACGAGGTTAGTTCAATCAGGGGGGATGAGGCCCTCTTCTAGCAGTTGAGGTGTGAACACCAAGGGAGGAGAAATTGCTTTTGTAGTTGGCTAGCCATTCACCGTCTTTGTTTAATCCTGAGCTGATGGTGTCAAATTTGCAAA